TGAGTAGCTATTCTTTATGGCAACTCCTGAGATATTGGAACAATCATTTCACCCCTAGTCCTTCTTTTCATTAAACTAGACATACTCAGTTCCTACAACCGTTCTTCATATGCTTAGCCCCCAGTTCCCTAATCATCTTTGTTGCTCTTCTCTGCACTCTTTCTAGAGTCTCAACATTTTTTTTACATCGTGGTGACCAAAACTGAATGCAGTATTCCAAGTGTGGCCATACCAAAGCATTATAAAGTGGTATTATTCATTACATACATAACTGGAGCTTCCAGAGGATTTATTCCCTATCAACAGTGTGTGTATAGAAATATTGTGCTGCATGCATTCTGGAAAAAAAGTATTTTTACAGGATCATGTTAAATATTTTTTTAAATATTTCACAGAATATCTGGAATTAACCTGAAAAATTAGGAACTTTTTATCTTCTTCTGACTGCAGAATTTCACTGTAACAAAAAGCACTAACCATACAATAGTCTCAGTGGAATGAAATCGATATTCAAACTGGTACTACTATTTTTTTCATCTTTGTAGCACTGTACTAGAGAGTCAAAAGCGATATAGATTTAGAATTACCTTTGTCAAGAAATTACCTGCTGGATGACTGTAATTTCTTTGAAGATTCAAAAAGTCTTTGAAGCATTTCATAGTGATAATTCTTGCTTTTCTGCAACCTATACACTTCGAAGACAAAATACACATCAAAACAGTCATTACCTTTGAAATATTTTTGTTAAAAGCATTAGCAGCATATTGCATGTCACTAAAAAAACCCCGCTAATTTATTCAAGATTATATGGTGGGTCTTTTGTGATACGTTACTGCACACCCACACCCTGCAGTATCATGAACCCCTATTTTATCCCTGCAATATTAATTGTTGATATTGTTTAAATCTCTTTTTTCCTCATTTTCATACGCATATTGGAAAAACCATGTCGTATAAAACGTACCCCTTGCAGTGCAGGCAAGATCATTTTTCTTGTACTGCGAAGCATATTCACCGACCAGCCTAACCATGTAAATCGCCGCTACAGAAAAGGCTTATGGGGTCGACAGAGAGCGCTTCATGCTATGGAAATCGATGCAGTAAACAAACCATACGCTAACGCTATTGGTCGTCACCAGATGCCCTTTGAGAGCCAAGGGTCCTGCAGTCCTCCCGAGAAGCTTCCGCTCGACTCCCCACGTGGAAGGTATCACTTCCTTATCGGCGTCCCTGCTTCTTTTCCTTCCCCCTCCCTCCACGTCTTCCGGGAAGCATCCGCCAAAGAAAAAGCCCGCAACAGTTTTGGTTTTGCTTCTTCTTCTTTTTTTCCCTTCCGCTTAGCCGTCCATCTTTCCGTTTCAGGCGCGAGAGAAGCTGAGTAGCCAAACAACACCGGAGCTCCTTCTCTTGTCGACGGAACGAGGCGAAAGTGGAACTGGGGATCTACCCGGACTTGTTTGACCGCCGCTCTTCCTTTTTCTTTCGGGATCGAAAGGAAGGTGGTTCTTTGCCGGCCTCTGCTTGGGCTTCGGACACCGACCTACAATGGTGAGTGGAGGTGATTGACTGGCCGTGGGTTCTTTGAACGGAATGGGGATGAGGGGAGGCTTTCGAGGGACATGGAACAGAAGTTGCCTTCGGAAGTTGTGGGGGCTTCATCTCTTGAGGCTTTAAAGAAGAGACTGGATTGCCATTTGTCAGAAGTGGTGTAGGGTCTCCTGCTTGAGCGGGGGGAGGGGGGTTGGATTAGATGACCTCTAAGGCCTCTTCCAACTCTGTTCATCTGTTAAAATCTGAGCTGCCTTGCGGAGGACCAAGAGAAAGAGGAGAAGTAGGTCCCCGGGAATCCCCGCTTATTGTCCCTCGCAGGTTGGCTTTGATTTAAATCCAGTATTAAATCATGATTTAAATCACTAGTAAAAAGGCTTGATTTAAATCAACTCGATTTAAATCGTAATTTTTAAAGCGCAACTCTGTTCCGCAGCAGCTCCTCCTCTGACCCTCTGACTCAACAACAGTCCTAATATTGCAGAATATACAACCTCATGCTACATAACTAAGCTCCATTTCATGCTGAATAAACTAAATTATTAATGTATCTTAAACAGAAAACTATCTTTAGATAGATTTTTTACTCCAAAAATATTTTATTAAAATAAATTTGATAAAAATTGAAAAAATCCCATATTTTATTTTTTATTTTTTTTAAAAAATCATAGATTTTTATCCACCTTGGTTCGTCGTTTATAATCAGGCTGGTAGCTCAGACTTCAGTCTCGTGTGCATCGCTGCAGCCATACCTGATCTCTATTGATCTCCCAATAGATTTGCATCTGGGTAATCTTGCATTCTGTATTGCATTTTAGTTCAACATTACACCAACAAACATCATTTTACAGCACAAGTTGCTTGCTTAGGCAGTCAGTAACTTTTTAACTGTGATGAACTACCATTTCCATCAAACCCAACTGTCAGTAATGGGCTGTGGTGAAGGATAACAGGAGGTGTTCAGTATCATCTAGTAGATTGCAGATTCCTACATTTCTGATTAGAAATAATCTATTGGTTTTTGTATATATGTGTATCTCTCCTGGGCTGTGTTTCATATTTGTGCAGAAATTGTATGCTTTTATGAATTAAAGTTTGCATCATTAATTGCATAATGCATTACAAACTGGAAAAAAATGCAAAATGATACTGTAGTCAAATTTGTTAAGAAGCTTCAGCCGAATACAGACAGCTGCTATTAGTTAGCTAATTAACACTTGCCATACCATAAAATATTTTTCATATATCTAGTGATAGAACTTGATTATTTGATAATTTTTTAATAAAATGTTTCATGTTACAGTTTCACTTTAAAGTATTTTTGCACCTATTTGCTTAAAATAGCCAGAATGAAAACTGTGAAAATAAAAATGGATGTTGAGGGTATTTTAAAGTGGTTTTTTAAAATAGATTTAAATTTGTTACTTAGTGGAAGATTGATGTGTAATTACTTGGAGACTAAATATAAGTGACAATATGTTTAGTTTCAGATAATAATCTGCTGATAAGAACACCACAAAAATATTTTTTGTGTAAATACAGACACTGAAAAAGTGATGGGTATAATTTTAACAGTTTAATTTCTAAACTTTTCTCTAATTCACAGCCACAAAACGAATATATAGAGTTACATCGGAAGCGATATGGCTACCGCTTGGATTACCATGAGAAGAAAAGGAAGAAAGAAGGACGTGAGGCTCATGAGCGTTCAAAGAAAGCCAAGAAAATGATAGGATTAAAAGCTAAACTGTATCATAAACAGCGCCATGCGGAGAAAATACAGATGAAAAAGACGTGAGACAACTTTTATTATAAAATTAAGGACTTTGATATAATAAATTGTACTGCTGCGATCTAGACTTCTTAGAAAGTATGCTGATTATTTTTGTGTATATCCATTGCTCAAACATTAGATACAATGACAATATAATTTTCTTAAGGCACTTATTTAGGAAATGTGCTTCATGTTACAGTTGGCAGTAATTTTGCATATTTTGCCTATGATTCCATATTATATTGTATCTATTGTAAAAGCTTTGGAAGCAATTTAAGATCTCTCTTACTAAAACTATTTTCATATGGCAGTGTTGCTGATTTAATGCTAGATTAATTTTGAAAAAATCTGAAAAGCACCTTGTTGTATCTATCTATCTAGTATTAAAATGCATGAGAAGAGAAATACCAAGCAGAAGAATGAAGACAAGACCCCAGAAGGTGCTGTACCAGCATACCTGCTGGACAGGGAGAGCCAGTCTCGAGCAAAAGTTCTTTCCAACATGATCAAACAAAAAAGAAAAGAAAAAGCTGTAAGTCATGCATATGCCTAAATTANGGGGGGGGGGGGCAAACCAGTAGTAACAAAATGTGAAACCCATTGCTGATAAGGATGCACATGACCCTTGGCCCTTGGGAAGTGGCTAGGCCAAAATAAGAATGGTCTGCTGAGCTGACTGCTCTCCTCCTGAAGAATCATCTATACTGATCATAGCCATCTGGAATCACTTTGGCATGACACTTCTAGTGAGCCTAATGCCTCTCTTTCTAAAAAGAGAGGAATGAGGGACACCCTGTGGCTGAGAAAGTGCCCAATTGCAGGAAGCGGGTGGTTGAAATCACCCTGAAGTCAAAGAGAAATTGTCAAGTCACCCATATGTGCTCCATGTAATTGATTTTTCATGGAAAGCAAGAACTGTTGTTTTTTGTGGTGGAATTGAATTTTGATTATTTGAAGAGAGGGAATGGGGCACAGGTGTCAAACTCGCGGTGTCACGTTGCCATCACATGACTTTTTGTGATTTTTTTCTCCTTCACGGAGCTGGGGTGGGCATGGCCTGCATGTGACACATTCAGCCCGCAGGCTGCCAGTTTAACACACCTGGAATGGGGGGTTGTTTAAAAGGAAAACATGGATCTGCCCTAGATATAATATGCAATGCTTATGCTGTTATTTCTAACAAATCCTACTACACTTTTGCTGTTTAATAAAAAGCAATGGGGTTTCAGAGATGGGTTTATAGAAACTGAGGGGAAATATGGAATGAAGAAATGGCTTTATTTTAAGAGATAGTGATAAATTCTTAATTTTGATTATACTTGCTGGCAATGAAAGAGGTAGAAGCTTTTTTATTTCCTTTTTCTTTTCTTCCTCTTTTCCTTTTTAGGCCCTTTTACTTTTTTAATGTATCTCTTTTTTGTAGCTGTATAAATTTTACCTGCATAATATAATCCCCAATAAAATAATTGAAAAAAATGAAATCACTTTGCCATTATTTTCTTAAGCTCTTTGTGCTCTTAAAATTAGGGAGACATGGTACCTGGTGTATCTATCAGGTTGATTCGATGGCCTTTCCAGTCAAATGTGACAGCAGCAGATTGAATGGTAATGCCACGTTCCCGTTCCTGTGCCATGAAATCTGTTACTGTATCACCATCATCAACATCTGTTTAATAGAAAGAGCATGCTTTTAATCAAATAACTTGAGCTCTTGGTAATATAATAAGTGTTATAGAATATAACACCTGGTGAGCCAATTGATTACCGTATTTTCACCCATATAACCCGCCCACGCAAATAACCCGCACACGCATATAACCCG